CCCCGCCAGAAGTGCACACACGGTAAAAGGCTCAGGCGGGATCCAAACGGCCGGTCTTAGAACTACAGGAGGGATCAAACTCCGCTCTTTCATTCAAACTCCGCTCTTTCATTCAAACTCTGCTCTTGCATTTTTAGCTCACAGAAAAAACACCAAGCAAGCAAATAAAGAAAACTAAACTGACCAATAAGATTTAGGCTTTGGCGTCCCCATCCCAGAGACTCATATAGATAGGTACAAAATGTTTTGACACAAAAGATACATTTCTATCCACAATTTCATTAATAGTAAAGAGAATCAGATGACAAAAAATAACTATTTTTTTTTCTTTTTCTACTGAAATGACATACAGCCATGCAGCTGCAGGATTTAACTGCCAAGCATCCCAACCAAAAGGAAACGTTTTCTTATGAAAGAAGGAAAATCAAGCATAAACACTTTATTACGCCAGTAGCAATAACTCGATAATCGCATGAATACTTAAAGCAAATTCAATAATTTCCTTTTGCATTATTTATCGTTTTTCTCTTTCTACCAAAAACTGGATGACTAGAGTCTTCATTCTGGTGCTTTGGTCTCAACTATCCTTTTTTTGTTTACAGAGGCTTCATAATTCATTTTATTTGTTATTTTGTTTAATTATTTTGGATATATAAAACATCTTCCAGTTCCAGTGTTAAACGTTTGCTATAATTTAAAGTTCATTGATATTTGAGAATATGTTCTTGCCATTATTACCACTAACTTAGATGAAAATGGTCTCAAAACGTAACTTCTGGGACAATTTATCATCCAGATCAATTTGTTACCATGGCAGGCCCTCACTTTACTGAATTATATAACTCAGCTAAACTTGAACCTCTTCTTTTTATACCGGTTGCTTTATTTTTAACTACTAACCCACTTTTCTGGATAAAATGTGTTTTTTTTTTTAAAGACACTCACAAAACAATCTTATATCCGGGGCCACAAGTGCCATAATTGCATGAACAAATAGGTGACTATTTAAATATGTGAATATACAGACACTGAGAGCGTCTGTAATCAGAACTGTGACTATAATAATAATAACAATAATAATAATGGAGGAAGTTGGGTTGCGGTCTGAGAGAGGAATTCAAATGATTGATTTTTGAATTCCTATTTAAATATGTGCTCATTTAAATAAAAAACTGGAATGCAGGCAGTAGAGTTTGCAGAAAAAACCAAACCAGCAGCTCTTCTCGCCTCGCCTTTGTGCTTGTTCTTCTCAAACCGAAAACTCCTCGTAAAGAAGCTTTCCACCTCATTGCTCTCTTTACACATGCACTTACATGCTTCAAGTCTTCTTCTGTGGCTTGCAGTCATATTTTCTGCAGTATTTTATTGTGTTGCGGTGCCCCACCGGGGCAAAGGCAAAAGAGAGACAGCGAGAACAAACATCCATTCTCCGCCTCTGGCCATGGACTCCCTGATTTTTGTCTGTCACTCATCCCAGAACAAGACTGTGCAGCGCTTCGACAAGAGACTTTGGTATTATTGTCATTTCACGCAGGTGCGGACACGCTTGCACCATTTCCTCTGTTTTTTCCCTCTTTTCTCTTCCCAACACATGAGAAATAAATTTAATAGCATGTATCTTGCCATGATTAAGTGTATTCTCACTCCTGTGGTGCGATAATGGAAGAACTGTCATCATCAGGATAGTATCATGTGTTTTTTCTTTTATTTTTCAAAAAGAAACAGGGGAACATAAATGTTTATTGAGCCCCGGAGGCACGTAAGCAAATGTGACCTCATCTGAGCCGATGTAAAGCGTCTGCTTTCAGAGGGGAGTGCAGATGGAAAGATCTGTAAATCACAGAATCCGCTCCGCTCGGTCAAACAGCTGCGCGGTTTCTGTGCACGATTACAGCACAATCACAAATCTCCAGCATCTAATGCGCTGCTTGGGCCTCACAAACGCACAATGATTTGCTTCATGTGTTTTACTGTTTTCAATCCGCAGCTTTTAAGTACGACAGCACATTTGGGCCATGCGAGATGGAAGTGAAAAAGTAAGGAGTACATTTCTGCCAAAAATCTCCAACTTGCAGTAAAACAAAAACTCAGAAATTTTCTGGAAAGAAGACAAACTTGGAAATATCTGTGTTTAAAAGTTACAAATTGGCTACAAAAAAGCAAGAAAGAAATGTTCTTGTTTTTTCTAGAAAAAAAATTTCAGTTTGATCTTTTTCTAGAAAATGTTTGACTTTTCAATCATAAATTTTATTCGTTTGTAGAAAAAACAAGATTTGTACATTTTTATTGTTCTTTTCAAGACAATTTCTGAGATTAATCTAAAAATTATCCAGTTTTTCTAGAAGATTTCTGAGATTGATCTAAAACTTTGAGGTTTTTTTCTAGCAAATATTTGACTTTTCAATCCAAAAATTTTCTTCTTTTTTGTAGAAAAAACCAAGACTTAGAAATGTTTGAAATTTTCCTGTTTTTTTCTAGAAAACTTCCAATTTCCAAATTTTTTCTTGAAAATTTCTGATAAATTTTCACTTTTCAAAATTTCTCAGTTTTTCTCTACGAGATTTCTGAGAATTTTTGACAGAAATGTACTNCTCTCTTTTTTATTCTTTTTTATATGTACAATTCTAATTCAAAAATACTTTATTTATCCCAAAGGTAAATTAAGTATTTTTGGTAGGTGTCCATAACTAAGTGTCATGACAGTTGCTATGGAGTTGTTATGACAACAGTTAGCAAGCCACATTCTCATATTGGTCAATCCTGACAGCAGCGATTTTGTTTAAACATAATTTGGTCCAGAGTGTCAACATACTTTCTTGTTGGTTTCGAATCCACGATTCATTTATGGCTTGCACTGCGCTTGCCTACCAAGATGGCGGCTCAGTGGCGCGCCTCACTTCTGATTCAGACTTGTGGGAATAATGTATGGTGAAAACTCCGCCCAACTAGACACAGTATCCAAAACGAGAAGAAATTGTTGTCCAAAAAAGCAATTTTCCCCTCCAGAAAGGCAGGAATGAAAGTTTGAAATGGAAAAAATCTCAATAACACTATATATCATCTTTTTCCTCCACCTTGATGGTTCCTATATGACCTGATTCAGTTTCTTCAGCTTTTGATTTTTTTTTTTTTTCCACGGCTTGTTATCCCCATGTCTGTGCGACACATCAGTCCCCGGTTTAAGACTCGTGTCAGAGGCGCAGAGAATGAGCTGCATTCGGAAATCTGGAACTGTGAGGAAAGTTTGGAAAGAAAAAAACAAAAAAAAAAAAAAAAAAACCTAAAGAAAAGTAGGATAAAACAGTAACTGTGAAAGATAAAGAGTGGATTGTTCAAATGCGCATGAAACCCAGAGGTGATTTCTTTGTGTTAATCCTGCACCATTTGGAGGGTTTGCAGTGTTTTACTCATTATCTGGAGAGAAGTCTGTTAAATACAGATTAGGCAGCGGAGGGATCCTGAACTTTCCCATGAAACAGAAACAATCCGTCTTCTCCTGGGTTATCGTGCTACTTCTCTGTGACGTCCCCACTCCCACTCTTTCATGTCTGTATTCCTTCCCACTTCCAACCAGCTGTGCTCCATATTTCACCCTCGCTTTCCAACAGATTTTAAATTAATCCCTTAAATTTAAGCAGAAACCTTTAGCCTTTTATCTCTGTTTTTTTCTCTTCCTTGAGGAGCCATCTTTCTTTTGATAACCTCGCTGATTTAAGCTGTCGCATATTTCCTCCTGATAACGTTTGACTTTCAAAACGAGACAGAAATGGATCCAAACATTCTGACTGGTCATGAATTCAGCGAGGTTCAGCCTCATGTTACGTCTGTGTTTAAGGACGTTTCCATAGTTAGAATATCAACAACAACAAAAAAAACTAATGAAAGATTATCAACAGCAGATGCATAGCAGAAGGAGAAATCTTGGTATGATTTGGCGCCACATAATAAACCAAATTTGAAATAAAAGAAGACTGATTAAATTCAACATTTCACATCGGAGCAGAATTTAAAGTTCAAAATCTACTAGAGTGCCTTCACCCGATCAAACCTTAAAGGAGACCTACTGTGCAAAATTCACATGTTGCACATTTTTATAATTCCATATGAGATTCTACTGCTTACAAAAACAGTCCTTAAAAATAAACACGCAGCTCTTTTGTGGCAACAAGTTAACATTTTTGGTGTCTGGAAAATAAGTTGTTTAAAAAACCTCCTGCTTGTTGAGTCACACTGCACTGTTACCTAGCAACCTCAGCCAAGCCCAGACCGTTACCTAGCAACCCCACACCTTTACCTACCAACCCGAGCCAAGCCCAGACCGTTACCTAGCAACCCCACACCGTTACCTAGCAGCCCCAGCCAAGCCCAGACCGTTACCTAGCAACCCCACACCGTTATCTAGTAACCTCAGCCAAGCCCAGACCGTTACCTAGCAAACCCAGCCAAGCCCAGACTGTTATCTAGCAACTTATCATTCAAATAATAAGTATCTTACAGATCCTGTATTAATCATACATGATCTGTATAAAATATATGTAGGTTTTGCATTTTAGATAAAAACAACTTTGTTTATAAATATATTTTACCCAAAACTCCCCAAGTGCTGGTTTTAGCTTCACCCAGTTCAAATTTACTAAAGGAACGCTAAGTTATAAAATGTTTATTTTCTTATTATTATTGAGTTATTTACTCTCATTTTCTAATATATGTCTCATAATATATAAAAAGGATTATATGGTTAAATGAAAATCTGTAGAATATGGCACATTTTTTATTCAATTAATCAATTAATCATCAGAATAAATGATAGATAAATTTATAGCTAAAATAGTTGCAAATTAAAAAAATCTGATAAAAATACAGACGTAGAAACAAAGATGTCAGCTCTGTACTGACATGATGATAAATCTATAAGGTTTGAGCGATATTTAACCAGCGGATGACATGACGTATTTTCAAGGTCAGGAGCAGAAAGTGGAAACCTGCCATCTCTCACTCACCGTGTTGAATCCTGGGAAAAGGCGAGCGGCCGAGGTGGTGTCCAGCGGGATGGGGAGGAACGGCTTCATGCCCAGCGAGGTTTGGACGGTCGGCAGGGTGGGACGCACCAGCGCAGGCATGAGGCCATTTTGACATGTGTTACCTGCAGGAGGACGGAGCAAAAGGCAACATGTTGAGCGACTGAGCCAAAATCTATTTAGCTTCTCATGAAAGCCTCTTTCTATTAGATCCGTGTCATCTGTGTCATCGATATCTCCGTCCCTTCGCATCACATTTGCTGCTTTTCCAGCTATTTAGCACCTGTGCTGCCGAAGCTGCCAAGTCAAGTCATCACTGGTTTAACTGGAGCCGAAGCAAGAAATTAGCACTTTTCCAGTAGGAAAGTAGGTCGCAGTTAGAAGAAAAAATGTTCTTAAAGGTTTTAAACAACCTTTAAAACACTTTTGACTTTATAAAATTTTGAGAATTTGTCACAAATTTTTGTAATATTTTGATCAGATTGAGGCAGAGTAACCAAAAATTGTACTCAAGTGAGAGTAGCACCACAATATATTTTTACTCAAGTAAAAGTAAAACCGTATTTCCTGAATAACTGATCAAAACCCGAGCTATTCAATAATTAGGAATTACATCATCAGACTGTAGAAAATCCAGAGATTTTACTCAAGAGTAGAAATAATTCATAATAAAATTACTCAAGTAGAAGTAATAAATACAGCTCAGTAAAAATACTCCTAAAAGTACATTTTACCCAAATAGTTACTCAAGTAAATGTAACTAGTTACCGCCAAACTCTGATTTGTGATATACTGTATATAAGAAAGAACTATAAACCATGATGAGCACAGGACCAAACAAAAGGCAGCCAGACCACATGATACGGCCACCACCGTACTTTGGGATGTGTTTTCAGCCTTATAATCTTCCCCCTTTTAACTCCACTTGTAGCGTTTCTCAGTATTGCCTCCTGTGTCATTCAAAGTTAATTTTCCATTAATCCTTTTGGCTTAAAACCTTTAGATGGTGAGAACTGAACCCTCAGAGCCACATAAAGAGAGTTACAAAGTCGGCCTTCTGTCACCTGAAGAACATTTCAAGGATTAAATCAATAATGTCTCAGCAAGATCTAGAGAAAGTCACCCATGTATTCATCTTTAGTCGCATTCATTACTGCAACTGTGTCTAAATAAATCAATCCTCCAGCTGCAGCTGATCCAGAACGCTGCTGCTGGAGTTCTGACTAAAACCAGGACGATAGAGACCATCAGCCCAGTTCTAAAGTCCCAACACTGGCTCCCTGTAGCTCAGAGAATAGACTATAAAATACTGCTGTTAGATTATAAATCACGGAACGGCTCAGCACCACAATACATTAAAGATCTACTGCTGTTGTTATAGCAACCTTCCGGACCTCTCAGGTCTTCTGGCTCTGGTTTTGCTCTGCATCCCCAGAACCAGAACCACACTGTATTTTTGTCCACAAAACTTTACTAAGCGTTTTTAGTGCAAATTTCTTCATACACTTAGAAGATATTTGTACACTTAAAATAAGACTTGGTAAGGTTTTGTGTTTTTGCAGTGTAAACACGAAGAAGCATTCAGTTTTTGTTTTTGTTTTGCTTCTCAAATCTGAAACAAACTTCCAGAAAACTGCAAAACAGCTGAAACACAGAGTTCCTTTAAATCCAGACTAAAAATCCCACCTGCTTGTGATTAGCAGTGAGTGGAACTTTGAACAACATATTTCATATTTATTTCCTTTATGATGGTATTTGACTACACCTTACTGCTGGCTTCATAATCTGTTACTGTATCATGTCTTTATGGTGTTTGCCTTGTTGTGGAAATGTCCCATACAAATTGTCAGAAAGTCAAAGAAGCAGAACAATTCAACGAAAGACGGCCTCAAAATAAGAAAACTAAAGAGCATGGCTCATGCCTCTGCAGTGACGATCTCCTTCACGACCATCGCAGCTTGTAAACACGTTTAGCGGTCGGATCATTTGTCACTTTATGCTTTTGGATTTGCTCTCAGACATCCTGCAGTAAAAAAAAAAACGTTTGGCTTAGTTGTGTTGGTTTGTCGTTTTTCAGAGACATTTGAGAGAGATGCACTGATTTAATGAAGACAAGTTTAAGGTGGAGGAGTTAGAGAAACCTTTTAATTCAAAAAGCTTTGTTTACACTTCATTTCTAGCTGTACAACAGCCTGAAAAGGAAAACAAAGGCACAATTAAAACTTACTCCACAGAAAAAGGAGAGTTGCTTCTTTTTTTTCTTTCACTGAAGTTAATTTTCTCACCTATGATCACAGGAACAGAACATATTTTCTTTTAATTTACTTTCTCTTTTAGACTTTGTGCAGGTGTGGCTGCACAAACGAATCCTCTCCCTTGTAATGTATTCCTGTTTCATGCCAGCCACTAATTACAACACAACCAAGCAAAGTACAAGTCTATAGAGAACGCCATCTCAAAATATGATTTATAGTCGACTTGGAGAAATTAATTTTTGGTGTCCTGCCAGCTGCGTTTATAAATTGGCGTAGAATCCTTTAATTAATGATCCATAAATAATATTCAGTGTTTCTGGAAGCGCTTTATGTTCGGTTCTTGAGCTTTTCTGAAGAACATTTAAGGTTTAGAGGTCTGCAAATGTTGAGTCTGCAGGTTGTGACCTTTGGGAACTTTGCACCAATTGACCCTAAAGTAGATTTAGTGCAGCGGTGGAACGTATTATGGTACTGCGCTGGAGGTCTAATGGTAGAAACATTTGAATTTAAAGGGAAAATAACGTATAAAAATCTACTTTATTAAGCTTTATATCATGTTATAATGTTATTTCCTTATTAAAAACATTCCTGGAGTGTTGCTTGGATTCCTTCATATTACAGAAATCCTTTAGGTTGCAACATTTGTTACATTTTCAGCTGCTGTGGTTTGTTTCCACACTGCACTGAGTCAAACGAATCAAAATTAAAAACCTGTTCCCCTCCTCGCCTGTGGTGGCGCTGCAGCAGAAGGAAACGGAAGGAAACGACTTGAAAATCTTCCTTCTTTTCAAAATGTTATCAAACACGGAGTAGCGTCAGATGTTAGCAGGATTTCTCTTTCTGCCATTAGCCATTTCTCCATCTTGTTCTAGACCAGGGGTGGGCAATCCTGGTCCTGGAGGGCCAGCGTCCTGCAACTCTTAGATGTCTCCCTGGCCCAACACACTTGAATCCAACATCTGAATCACCTCCTCAGTGCAGTCAAGTTCTCCAGAGTCCTGCTAACGACCTCATTATTTGACTCAGGTATGTTGAAGTAGAGCCGCATCTAAAAGTTGCAGGAGACCGGCCCTCGAGGCCTGGAGTTGCCAACCCCTGTTCTAGACTCTCACGTTTTTTAGGTTGTTAGAACATAAGAGTAGTGATACTTCATAATAAAATTACTTAAGTAAAAGTAATAAATACAGCTCAGTAAAAATACTCCTGACAGTAAATTTTTTCCAAATAGTTACTCAAGTAAATGTAACTAGTTACTGCCCAACTCTGATTTTGAGAGATGTGACATATATAAGACTATAAACCATGAACTCTATGATGAGCACAGAACCAAGCAAAAGACAGTCAGACCACATGATACTGCCACCACCATACTTCATAGTTGGGATGTGTTTTCAGGTTTGCAATCTTACCTTCTTTAACATTTCTCAGTATTGCCTCCTGTGTTTTTCAAAGTTGATTTTCCATTAATCCTATTGGTTTTAAACCTTTACATGGTGGGAACTGAACATCCAGGGCCACATAAAGACAGATACAAAGTCAAGTCTTCTATCACCTGACGAACAACTAGTTCTATTTGAAGATTATTGGCAGAAATGTCTTGTAATGAGTGAATTTATCTGACAATTAAACTAGCACTTTTTCATCAATATTAAGGTGTCACATCAGTCTTATACAGACCGCTTCAAACAAAGTGTTGCCAATGTTTCCAAAGTAGTTTCTTTCAACAGAAAACATATTAAACTTTAGCAAAAACTGCAGGTGTGTGTATGTGTCTGGTTAATTATTGGTTAAAACATATTTGTTTTTCATTCAGCTGGTAGAAGTAAGAGTAGCGATATTTTAAAATAAATAAATGTAACCAGTTACGACCAATCTCTCACTAAACATCTACGCTATGTGGACAGAAGTTACATTTTGGGGTAATTTTATCTTTTTATAATTGATCTGAAGGTGAATTCAGGTTGACATTTAAACTTTTTCCTAAGAGCAGGTTGGGTTAGCAGGTGAAAAGTGCATTTATTGTTTTTTTTTTCTCTGAAATCAGATGCTTGCTGAGGTGGAGCGGCCCCACAGCGAGTCTTATGAGATGATTCAACAGTAAGAGAGGCCCGGGCCACACATCTCTAGGAAAAACAAAAGTAAATACTCCAGTTTTATTGTCATGTGAGAGCGCCACGCCAGCAGAGAGCTTTCCTAACCACGAGCTGGAAACAGGACAGGGCTGATTTCAACACGTCAGGATTGAAAAGAAAATGGCAGAAAAAAAAAAAAGAAAGAAACTGCCCCTGCGTTCCAAAACATTAGGAGTTAAAGAAGCTATTTCACAAAGCTATAATGAGAACCAGAGGGGAGATTTTTTTCATTTTTATCGCTGCATAACAACAGCGAAAACCTGAGCCAGCAGGCTCAAAAGCGCTGGCATCAAACCAGTGTCATGAGACAAATAAAAACAATGTTTGCCACGTTTCAGTCCCCAGGCTGTGGTTAGGGGTAAATAAAAAGCAAAAGTCATAAAAACAAGCAGAGAATTGGGAGAAGCCACAAACTGCGGGGCATTTTTTTTTTTTTTTTTTCCTGCTCCATCTTTTGCTTCTTCCTCCAGCTGCCGGAGCGCTGCCATCTGTTGGAAAAAGCGCACATGCGGTCTTTCATGTGGAGGCACGTTCCGGTACCAACTTTAACAAAGCATGTCCGTCTGCAGGGATCAACCGTCGCTCGACATGCCGGCCTGACGTCACCGCTCAGGATCGCCTCACCTTGCTAACAGCCAAATGAGCCGTCCGTCAGAGCGAGGTGCGTAGCCAAAAGCGGATCATCCAAACACAGCCGCGCTGGTGTGAGAAGTTCATCTGCAGCGATCTGACATGTGG